TATTTGTGAGCTTCTAAACGTCTATGTGCGCTTGTACGAATGTTAAGGATTCGATGGCTTGACGCTGCGTTTTAGTAACTTGCATTTTTTACTACTAATACTCTGCTTTTGCTTACAAATGAATCGTAGTGTTGTGATATTATCGCTTACTGCTTCATACAAGTAAGATGCCACGCAATGCAAATTTTGTAGGCAAGTGATGATCATTCAAAACTCAAAAGTTACTAACTGTCACACGTGTGTGGATTGTATTCCGCATAAATTTTCCAACATTGCTAGCAGGCGAGTCAGAGATGCCTTGACATGTCTAACATGTATCGATGATGTGTTGAATGCATGTCCTGTCTGATATGTATCAGACACTTCATATCTTTTTCAGAAGTATTGGTGCATCATAGGTCACTAATCTTTGGTCCTGCATAAGTATAGCTCCTAGGCCATACCCTGAAGTATCTGTCTCCACCATAAAATTCTAGGTGAAGTCGGGCGGGCTAACACTGGCATGCTTGTCATCACCTTCTTCAACTCTTCAAAGGCCTTGATAGCTACTTCGCCCCAATTGAAATTATCCTTCTTTAGTTGTTCGATCAAAGGCCATGCTGTTGAATTGTATCCCATCATAAACTTTATGCAGTAGCCTGTAAGCCCCAAGAACCCTCTCAACACCCTTAACCTCTTGGGTATTCGCCATCTCAGCATTCCTGGGTTTTGCTCTAGTCATTTGCTACTCCTTCCTATAATACAACGTGCCCCAAATACTCCACTCTAGGCAGGGCAAATAAGCATGTCTTCAAATTGGCAAACAAGTGGTGGTCCCGAATAGTGAATAACACAAATCTCAAGTGTTCTAAGTGTTCCTCCTCAGTCCTGCTATAAATAAAAATATCATCCAATAAGACTAACACAAATCTCCGTATATATGGCTGAAATATCTTGTTCATCGGGGACTAGAAAGTAGTTGGAGCATTAGTGAGGCCAAAAGGCACATTAAAAACTCATAGTGTCCCTCCTAAGTCCTAAATGCTCTCTTGAGGACATCCTCTGGCCTAATCTAGATCTAATGGTACCCTGATTTCAAATTAATCTTCGAGAAAGCACAGCTCCATAAAGCTCATATAGTAACTCATCAATCACTAGAACAGGAAACTTATCTGTCACAGTCTCCTTGTTCAATACTCGATAGTCCACACAAAACCTTCAACTGTGATCTTTCTTTTTTACTAATAACACTGTATTGAAAATTGGATAGATAATGGGTTGAATGATCCATGCCTCTAGCATCTCTCTGATTAATCTCTCGATCTCATCCTTCTGGACTTCGGGATAATAATATGAACGAACACTAATATGTAAGACTCTTTCCTTCAAGATAATAGCATACTCGTGTTCCCGCTGAGGATGCAACCCCTGAACTGGCTAGAACACCTCTCAATATTGTTGTAAGAGTGGTTGAACCATGATTGGTGCTTCTATCTTCTGCCCCATGCTCTTCTCCTTCCAAACTCTGCAGCTCCACCAAAAATCTCACTCCTTCACCCTGGATTGCCATTAACATGGTTTTGAGTGAAACCATAGTTTCAAACAGGCTATGATCCCCTCTAATAACCACTTTCCTCCCCTCAACCCTGAACTCCATCATAAGAGCCTTCAAATCAATCTTCGTTTTCCCCAACTTCTGCAGCCACTTCATCCCCACTATCACATCAGTGCTCCTCAAATCTAATATCAGAAAGTCTTCAACTACCTAAACCTCTGGAAGGATTAGGATCATCCCTTTGCAAATTCCTCTACTCTCTAATTTTCTTGTTCCCAATATAACCCCAAAGCCCCACATGTCCACTAATTTTAGTCTCAAATGATCCAGTATGATGTTGCAAATAATGTTGCGGGTAACTCCACTATCCACCAGTACTACCACTTCTCGATGCCCGATCTTCCCCTTAACCTTCATGGTAAGGTTCAATGTGAACCCGACACTAAGTTAAGGGATACCTCTACAACATCTAAGTACAGGTGATCATCTTCCTCCTCTACTTCCTCTCCTGCAACATCTTCCTCCACATTGTAGACTATCAGGACCTGTAACGAACGGTCCTTACAACGGTAGCCTAGAGCGAACTTCTTATCAAACCTAAAGCATAAACCTATGACCCTCTTCTCTTGAATTTCTGACTCAGTCAACCACTTGAAGTTTTCCCCATGGACATACACCCTAACCTTTATCCCTTAGAGCTTCCTTCTGAATAGGTATCATCTACACCTTTGGTGCCAGAAATATAGTGGTCATGCAGTATGAGACTCCCGAATTGCTGCTATGGCTACTCTCCAAAAATTTCTTATCCTCCACCAGTTGGGCTAACTTCATAACCTCTCCTAAGCCATATTATCTCAGTACTCAAAATGTTGCTCGAATATCAGGCTTGAGCCTCTTCATAAAGTTCCCCTCTATCAAAGTCTCTAACAACCTTCCCAATCAACTCGAGAAGTACTCAAACTTCTCTCAATACTCTATCACAATACCCTCCTGCACCAAAGTTGTTCACAAAAGTCTCCTTCCCGATAAGTGGAAAACATTTTAGTAAACAAGCTATAAACTCCCTCCATAAACATATCAAATCTCGCAAGTCTCACTGCTGGTACCAGGACAGAGCCTTCCCTTCCAGACATAGAGTGGCTACGGTGAGTTTCATCTTTTGTCAACCCATTTATAGCAAAATATCACTCCACCCTATAAATTCACAGGGGAGCAATTTCTCCCTCAAAAACTGGCATCTTCAACTTTATCACCCTAGGATCACCACCGCCCCAATAGCCTCTTCTCCTCCAATGTAGCGGGTGTTGTGATTCCTCCATGTTTCACTCACCCCCAAATCAGCTCTCCGATCTTCATCATCCCAATTTCTTCCCTAGCCATACCATTCAACAGTTCCCCTCCTTGGAAGTGGCTGATAAGGTGGCACCTCCTCATCTTCCCCAAAAATTTCCACCTCCCTCATCGTCCCTATATCAAGGTTTCCCCCACTTCCTTGTCCGACCAACGATGCCCTTGCCGCCGATGATGTTGTTTATATTGAAACTCTAACATCCTTTTCATCAAATCTTCTGGATTCAAAAATCTACCCTCAATTGATGAAATTCGATCTCTGAATTCATATTTTAGATTTTCAACTTCATCATCAAGCCTCTCCTCCTACGCATCAACTTTCTTACCCGCCATAGGTCCCAAAAAATGTGCTCTGATACCAATTTGGAAGGAATCTGATCACTGCATAGCAAAAACAACAACAACGAAGAGAGAATGCAACAAAAATTAGCGAGAAAGAATGAGATATTGCACAACAAACCAAGATACAAGTTGATCCGCTATTTTAGAGGTAGATCGACTCTCCACAAACCCTAGGCGTTGCAAGGAAAAAACTTCAAAGAAAACTAAAGTCAAACACAATTCACATAATGAAAATAAAACAACCTAATTAACCCTAAATAAACCTTCCTAATTATCTCTTAAATCTAAATATAAATAAGCCATCTTTCCCTAAATGAACCTTCTTACTTCCCTCCAAAATCTAAGTTCAAATCAGCCATCTTTCCCAAAGGAAATCTTTCTAATTCCTTCTAAATCCGAATTCAAACCAGCACTTTTTTCCTAAATAAACTTTCATAATTCCCTCCTAATTTTGATTTTCTATGATAAATAATTAATGGCATAATTAATCCCATTTGATCCCCCCTCCCCTCCCCTCCCAATTTTAATTTTCAAATCAGCGCCCTTTCCCCCATGACTATGAATAGATAGTAGATTCACAGGAAATTGTGGAACATATAAAACAACTGAGAGAGATATAATTTAAATTATATATATTGCAGTTGCAAGAAACAATAGAAAGGAGGGCCGCTAAAAATAATAATTAGTAAGAAAGTCAAACGGAGAAATGAAAATAATCAACAATTACCTTTCATATGAGAGACAATCAAATCTTAAAGCCAAACGTAATAATAGAGACACTGATAGCGGCCCAATGAAATAAAACACACAAAACGCTAAGAAAGATGTTTGAGATTTATAACGTGGGTGCTCATAGTCCTAATAAGATAGTAATAACTAATAAACCTAGAGAAGGAAGTGCCAAAGGAGGAGGTAGGGTTGGACTGATTGTGGATGAATGCTAAGAAGCGCAAGGGTAACACAATTTTTCCTTACAATGTTAAGGCTGATGAGATTGGTGCAACTACAATGATGATAGGGTAAAAAAGCATTATGGCTATGTTTGCGACCACCACTAATTCATCCACCATATCCATGGCTCCCCTGAGCCGCCCATAGAACCAACGACCAAGTTTGATTTGTCGGGATTAAGAGATTAGAACGTGGAGAGCTCTATGGATGCGAAGAACAAAAAAAAAAGAAGAGCAATCTCAACATTAGGGATTGTATTCATCATTTGAGATCGTGCACTCTATAGAGGATAAATGTCAAAGATAAACTTGGCAACATAAATGAAATTGGTGCCAAGAAATTGTTTGTTCTACTTTTTGTTAAATAGTCTAATCAATAGAGAATGGCCTGTACAAAATTAACTCGTCTCATTTTCCTAACAGTGAACTATAATGTTCCTACATGGACAAAATAGTTATATTAAAGATATTACTTTCTTAAAAGTACGAGCAGAGAAAAAACCACGTATTTTTAACAGTCTTGAAGCTTATAGTTGAAACAATGGAAGGCTCAAAAGTACTGAGCAATCAAATAATAATAGCATATTCAAATGCTTGTAATATTAAAATTTGGCAGTGTGAGCACTATTCGGAGTAGATACATCAAGATGATAGTATTTGTCCTGAAAAATGACAAGAAATTGAACCATAACCAAAAGAGAGAATTATTAAAATTAAATAAACATTCATTACTCATAATATAAGAAGGTACCTACCTAAAAAAATTCCAATACTAGCAAATAACAAACATTATTCATTTACTTATTTGTCCTTTATGAAGGTACCTTATCCTGGCAATGTAGTAGTTCCTTTCTTGTAATTCTCATCCGAACAGCTGCATAGAATTTCAAGGCATTTCCACCGCAGGTTACCTCATTTGCCTCGTCAAAGCCTTTGCTAGACTTCATTCTAACCTAGGAAAAAAGATAAAACTAATTCAATTCAACAAATTAATAAATCTAGAAGATTAATCATAATAGAAAAGCCAATTAAATCCGTGGAAATTAAATGAAAGTCAATTTGAAAGACTGGAAGATAAAAAGTACACTAGATTATATTGTCTCAAAAGATAGAGCCCAATGTTTTCAATAACAACAAATGATATTATACTACGTGATCAGCATTGACGATACGGATGTACTACCCAAAATATTTGTATTGTCCAAATCAGACATTTTATGTTCTGTGGGACCAAGTATTGGGAAACAAAGAATCAGTGAAACAAAATTAGAAAGACAGGAGAATGCTCTTATAGATATTTGGTAAGACAAAAGGATAGAATGCGAATAACCATACTGGGGAAAATGTAAATGTAGAACCTATTAAAGAATAATTTCATTCTTTCCAAGGTACGATTATTAAAACAGTAAGGTAGAATGATAAAACTAATATTAAGAAAAATGTAGGCAACTGGGAAGATCTATGATAGTGAAATGCAAGTTAAGGAAATATAAAATTTGTGTAAACTAGAATTAATGCCACATGCAACAAGCAATAGGAATGACAAGCGAAGGATTCATAAGGACAGACCAAAACAGCAAGATAGGGGTAGGGTGATGAATATGAGAATGGTGATGGTGTCTAAAAAATAAACTATCTAAAAACTCTAGAAATCATCTTCCAGCAGATTTTCTAATAAGCTAGTGGTCCCCCAAAAGTGGAACTAAAACACTCCAAAAAGTGGAACTACAATAACTTTGGTGGTTACTGAAAGAACAATTACGTAACATTAGTGATGAAAATAAAATTCAAACTACAGCCGTGAAAAGTATAAAAAGTATGAACTATATTGTCAGATTATATGTTTTCACAAGCTAAATTAATTAAATATGATAAAGAGGTTCACATAATAAAGTGAAAAGGACTTCGAAGAAAACATCTTCCAACTCACACAAAATCCAAAGTACTTTATACGAGGCCACAGTACGTGGAAGGCATGAAATGGAAACTTTTCGTCTCGCAATGCCACATTGACAATACCAAAAGAATAAGTGCTTTGATTAAGATCAAACAACAATAGGCACTTAAAAGAAACTCTCAACTATTGTTATTTGACAGCTAGAGCACCCGTAGATTTCTAAGAAAATTTGTTTAATCCACCATCACCTTCTCCAATGCGACAACTGGCAGTCAATCTGACTAAAATATTTCAAGTACTGAGAAGAAAGGAGTTAAAGGTGTTTTCCAATTCAGCTAGCTGTGGGCACAGTATGTATCATGCAATATTGTCAAGTCACCCAGAAGCATAGTAGTGCGTTTTATGTCCCAGACACTGATAACAAGCTAAGTACATACATGTACATCATAAAGGAACTACAGCTTAAGTACAATAGAAGTTCGAACAAAAATGAAACTAAAATCTTATTAAGAGAAGAGAGAAATCAAAAGCTTTCCTGAATAAAGAAAATATAATCACTTGAATAATTGCCTACAAAGTGACATAGAGAAAAATTATGTGCGAGTAGCTAAAAACTCAATTCAGGCTATTCAGCATACGCAAGACTCAATTCAGTAGGCACAAGAATAAATTTCAACTACATTAATATGTATACTACACGATACAATAAATATTCATCTGAGGTAGCCTATTGTTTAATTAATATTTATCTGTTTCGACACACTAAATTTCCTGTACCTCATTAATACCTAAACCAAGAAAAAAGTTTTGCAGTCAAATTATGTGACACATCTTTAATGAAAATATGGAATACTTTCCACTATGATGCACCAACACGGCAACACTCCTCCATAATACCGTATGCAGTGTTGGACGTGTTTAGGATATGGACAAGCGCCCAACAAGGCTGGGATACGTGTTGAACATGGCACAAATGTGTAAAAAATAAATAAAATTTTAAAAAAATTGGACATGTCTGTCTAACTATTTCTTAATAACTTTTTTTAAATATACTTCTCTAAATATTTTAAGTTAAACTTTTTAAAATATATATTTTATTATATAATAAAAACTCAAACTAGCCACATCAACTCTACTCCTATCCCGAGCCGCTCAATCCCCGCTCCATCTCGATCTGTAAACGAAGGCGCAACCGCAGCTAGGGCTAGCTTGATTGGGGTGAACGATCGGTAGTTGGCGACGAGGAAGACGCAAGCCAGCAAAAATCTCCCACTCCATTCATGATCTAGACGTCAAATAGCTTCAGCAATAGAGGATGGCGACGATAAATCGGCTCCCCAACATTCTTAGGTTGGCTCGCGAGTCCTTCACTTCACGAGAAACTTCAGCAGCAAGGCTATCACTAATAAGGTAATATGCATTTTATGTTTTTCTAGGGTGAAATACTACTAGATTTTCTTAGGGTACATAAAGACATGCAAGTTAGACTTCCTTTTTTATTTTTCTTAATGAAATATTTATCTCAATGTGTTTTGTTCTATGAAATTATGTCGGATTATGAGCAATGTTTATTATTGAAGTTATCACTTATCACAATACAATTTCATAAGTTCTTTTCATTTGAGTTTTAAATAATCCAAGATGATTTTTAAGCTTTAAGATTTAGGTTTAAACTCAACAAATGTATATGAACTAGCTTCTTTCATTTCTTACTAGTTTAATATAATATAAGAATGTATTGTGAGGTCTAAATCTATCTATACAAAAGATTTCAAGTTTGCATTAGAAAACTAGATTAGAACATTGAATTGAATGTTTTCTTAATTTCTAATCACTATTAAAAAATTATAATGCCATGTATGCGCCGTACATGTGTCCTGTATTTTAAGTAATTGATGTGTCCCTTGTCCATGCAGTGAAGTGTCTATGTCGTCGCGTCCGTGTCCTTACAACATAGACTTTCCATAATTGTATCACATGAATTCTAAGAACATCGACCTTTTACATATATTTGAAATTAATGAATTAGCAGGCACTATGTCATTTTTAAAGTACTTGATGGTTATAGACGGACAATTCCACAAATTAATGACTAAACTTTCAATATTAACATTTTTTTTCTTCAAAGTACCAAAAATTGTATGCAATAAGCACAATTTTTCATCAACACAAACACCGTCTAATATAGAGTTTTCCATGGATCAGCATCTAAAGTCGTTAAAACAACAATTTTCTAATATAAACACAAAAGCCACAAATATGATTCTGTGAATTTTGCAAGCTCCACTCCAGTATGTTTAAGAAAATGCAGTTACCTGATTAACAAAAATTACAAGAGCTTGGGACAGACATAAAGAGTGTTGAATCTTGCGAAGTGCTTGGGTCATCAATTGTGATTGCATGTCAACAGATTTAGAATCTATCATACCAAGAAGTTCACATTCAGGAACAAGAGCAGCTACCTGGCATATATTTAAGACAAACGCAAGTTACAAATAGATATATTAAGACTATGTTAGGATGCTAAGAATTTGAGCGAGGAAAACAAACAAAAAACGAATGAAAAAATTTTGGGATTTCAATTCGTTTAGTTTTCGTTCAATCCACACAAGTCTAAATAAATGGGAAAAAAAAACACAAATAAAATCATATTGCAGAGATATGCATCATACAAAGGATTGTCCCACACTTATTTGCATTCATTTTAAACATAAGAAGGTCATAGTAATGCATGATGCTCCCGCAAATGTGAGGCACGGCGAGAGATTGATGCACATGAAATTGCACTTCAATGTTAGGAACTCTTTTTGATATTTGAACCAAAACCTATAGCTCATAAAAAAGGCGACCTATCCATTTTCTAGGTTCACCCTCCATTCACAATCAACAAGAAAAGAAGCAAAACAATAACTGAAAAAATCTTGAAATATAGCTCATAAAAGTCAATAAATATGGCCAGAAGAACATTCCTACATATGATTTTAATTTCTAATGCAATTTCATTGGAAGACTGCATCATCCTGCTCCATAAAACAATTATAGGAAGTGACAACAATAAATATGAAAAGCTTGTAACAGAGAGCTTCCCTAATTCAATACCACAAAAACATTAACAAACATCATTTAAGAAGTTGTCTAGTAGGTGTGACTTGATGTATATTTTTACAAATGATATAATTCTAATTAATACAACATCAATTGAAATAAATGAAAAATTAGAATAATTGGCGAAATATTTAGAAGATAGAAGATTGAAAATTAATACAACAAAGAATGAGTATATGATTTGCTATTTTAGTGGGTGCACTATTAATAATTATTATTTAATATTATTACAAAAAAAGATGATAGCTAATATTATAGGTCTAAATATCTTAAATCTATTATATAAAAGAATAAAGATAAAGATCATGGTATCTTCTAGAGATAAGACTAGATGGCTAAAATGAAAAAAATACCTCATGAAGTTAGGAAGCAAGATGACATCATGGAGACATAAATTAGTCGACGATATTGTATATATGAATACTAGGCAGTAAAATAATCATTGAAATCTCAGTTAAATGGATCAAAAATGGGAATCTTAAAATAGATATGTGGCAAATCTAGAAATAATAAACTAAGGAATAATTATATTAGAGGAAGGAGTGAAATCTACTAACAATACACAAAATTAGCTTGGAAACATATAACAAAGGATAGAAAAAGTATAATGGAGATTTGCATGCCTACACTTGGAAGAAATGTCAAGCAAATATGTGACTTGAGCAAGTTTTATTTAAGTTTCCTTTATTTGATAGCTTTATTTTATTTTGTAATTTTCAATTACAACTAAATTTGAGCATACATGAGATAATATGCTTATTATGAGAATGGGTTGTGTTCTCTATAGTTAAGATGGTTCACGGTATGGGTGGCTATTAGCTTAGTTTTGCTTTTATAATACTTGGGCGGTTTGACTCTTGGTTATGCAGCAGGACAAGCAACAAGAAGATTTTCCATATCAATATTAATTTTTTGGGGATATTCCGTATCAATATTGATTCTCTGTTATTGTATTTCCATATCAATATTGATTCTCCATAATTTTATTTTGGGCTTCAACGGGTTTGTGGGATGATGACTTCAAGAGACTTATGTGAATTAGAAGGGTGTAAGATTCATATGGTTGTTCTATGCATTGCTGAAAACAGCCTCGTTGAAAAAGAAATCCTAGATCCTTGAGCGTCCTACAATGCGCCCATTAGGTAAATAGAATTAATGTCATATGATTAGGAAGCATAAGGAGAAGATCTAAGTTTAGAAATAAAAAGTGGTGGATGACTAGGAACTAAAAACTTCTAAATGTCAATATGAAGCACATAAAAACATTTTCTGGTGGAATAAATTTCATATCCAATTCTCAATCTAATGTTTGTGTATTGAATGTGCGATTCCTTGATTGTGGTACAAATAAAATTACCTAATTTAAGTGAAAGTCATTTCCTTGTACTCATAAGAAGTTCAAATTTCTTCACAATGGTGATCTCTTCCCTTTGTCTAGTTTCTTCTAAATTTTTTGTTCTTGCCTTGCTAGACTTCTTGATTTTGATCAAATTCGATAAAACCAAATTTTTATCCAACCCAACAAAGTGGGATAAAGTTTAGACATTTGATTGTTGTAGTAGTAGTTGTTGTTGTTCGATAAAACTCAAATTTTAATTATAGCAAGAAAAATTCATTTGCTTCCTTATTTTTCAAGGTTTGAATTTGTGATTTAAATTATAATACTTTATAATTGCAGCTAAATAAACTTTTTTTTTTTTTTGCTATTTAGTAATCTTTGATCTGTCAGCCCTAATTTTATTTTTGTGATATAAATCCATGGCAACATCCTATTTGCATAAAAACCCTAGATCCTTCAACACATTCTAAATCAACTTACCTATTAGACAAGTACATAAAATTAATGTCATAGGATTAAGAAGCATTAGGAGTAGATCTCAGCTTCCATGGACATTTAGAATTTTCATGACGCTGATTAAACTAGGACCCTTGCAATAATTGTAAACCTAAAAACTAAATAAAAAATACGTGAGACACAACCCACTCTCAATAGGATGAACACCAAAAATACGTTTTGTAATATAAAAATGAATCAGGAAATAAAAAAAAAACAACCGCAATACACTTAACTGATAATTCCAATCAATAAAGACTTTTAGAATTGCCTCATAAAATGCCATTTTCTGTCTCTTATAATCTCCATCTCAAGTACATTCTTTCCAACTCTATTATTCATCCCAAATGCCTTGCTAAAATCAGCTTTTGGATTCTGTATTTGTTACATTTTTTTAGTAGCAATCAACATCTCATCTGCAATCAAAAACAAATAAAAAAAATCCATTTTTTTGTTGCTTGTTGTACACCTAACAACCAATTGAATATATATCAAACTGATTGTTACATATGAATTTATAAATATTATAAATAATTATTATAAAAATTTCCCCATGTAGTAGGATAAAGACTTAATGTTATTGTTGTTGATTGAAAACAAGGATTAAAAAGACGAGCCCAACTAGTTGAAGCAACTCAGCAAGGATTACGATGATGATGATGTTCTGAATTACAATAAAGAAATTGTATGCTTGACTAAATTATGGGGCATGTGATACGATATTTACTTACACTATCCACCACAATAACATCCACAGATCTGCTATTAACAAGAGTGTTTACTATGCTCAATGTGTTTTCAGCTGAGTTAGGACGAGCAACAAGAAGATTTTCCGTATCAACACCCATTGCTTCCACCAGTGATGGATCTATCAAATTCTCAACAGCAAGATATGCACAGTATCCTGTAAGAGAAGACAAGGTCATGATTAATAGTAGCAAAACCCTCACAGTAGATGCTAAATACATGTACCAAAGGTCCAAAGCCCGACATACATTCAAAAGAATCAAAATGTCATAAAACAAGTAATACAATATTTAGAGATGATAAACACAAGAATCACACATCTCCCCAAAGTCTCGGAAAAATTAAGATGAAATAAAATTGTTGCAAGTGTTCAAAGGATTCCGCGATGTTTTAAAAACCGGACCGGACCGGCTGATTCAACCAGTTGAACCGTGAACCAGTCCGCTGGCCGGTCCAGAATATTATCAAAACCGCTTTAAATATGAACCTGCTTTAACTGCCTTGAACCAGCGATTCAACCGGTTTAACTGGTGAACCAGTGCCGGTTTTCAAAAACCGGTTTGGCTAATATTTAATTAAATAAATTTATTTAATAAATTTATTATTAAATATTTTACTTATAAAAATAATGTTAATTTATATATTTTAATTAAATGAGTATCAACAATGATTTATCAACTATGCTCTATCGCATGGCCCATCAAACCATGTGACCCCTTTAACTATGTGACTCAAAAAGCATATAGAAACAAAAACAATGCTAACATATAGTGCCTACGTGACGTGGGACAAAAAAATCAATGTGAAGTTCTCAACTCTAAAATTCACAATACATACACTACATATTTTTATATTTTTTAATTAAAATTTAATAATGCAAATTAATATACAAATTTTTATCTATTATTTTGTGCATTTTATTTAATTATATAATATGAAAATTGATTTTTTATCTATTTTTTACTAATAAATATATAACATGAATTTATAGATAGATTTTATAATGTAATTTTGTATACTTTTCATAGGTATAAATTATATCTTAAACATATAAGATAAACTAAAATTATATATAAATTTAAAAATAACATGTAAACTAATTTTATATTAAATATGAATTAAATTTAAAGATCGAATATATTTAAATTTAAATTTATAAAATATATTATTTTATATGAATTTATTAATATATATAATATATCTATTATTTTTTTCATTTATTAATTATATAATATAAAAATAACTTTTAACTATTTTTTTACTAATAAATAATAATAACTTGAATTTATAGATAATAATTTTATAATATAAATTGTAACTATTCATACTATTAATTATATTTAACTATAAGATAAATTAGAATTTTATATATATATATATATATATTATATTTATATATATATTAATATATATATAATAATGAATTAAAAGTAAAGATTGAATATGCTTAAATTTAAAATTATAAAATATTTATTACATTATCCGGTTCAACCCAAATTCAACCGCGGTCAAACCATTGAACATTGAACCTCTCCTTATTTTGGTTCTATGTCTGTCTATTTTCACAACCTTGGGTACCGCAAAAAATCACCATAAGCACCAAAATTGAGGGTATAAATCTCATAATGCAAATAAACAAATACTTCTGGCATATACTTTTCAACAACCAATTTCAGCATATATATATATATACATACATACATGCTAAGCTTTTATTAAGATACCAAAAAAAAGTAATATCCCAATGAATGGAGTAAATGTCTTCAATTTAATCACACGGCCACAAACTTCAACTCTTAAATGGATACTATAAGTCTAGATTCAAATAATTTTATTTTGTAACTTTGGGTGGCCTTGCATTCGTGAATGTGCTTGATAGCAATCTAGCAAGTCAACAATTTCAAAGGATAGTTACAACCACAGAAAACAAAGACTTCATTGGTGCATAAATTTAAAGTCAACTATAACAATATGTAACATTCAAAGGAATATTAGGTCTAAGTCAACTGATAGAAAATTGACAATTTACACCGACTAAAACAGCATCATACTTAAAGAAATAAGGACAACTTTGACTTACAGTAAAGTGTTCACAATTAAAACAGAGAACTGCAGGTCAAAGAATATGGTTAAAAGTAGTCATTTCACTCAAGTATAGAGCTTTTTTTTTTTTCAACTCATCATTGAATTAATCTAAAAGGCTTTAGTTTCCTATAACATTTTTCCTTCTTTTCACTGAGAAGCGTTGTTATGAATTTTGAAGAAATTGTTTTTAGGGGAAATTGAATTCAAATTTTATTCCTTTAAATCATTACATATATATATACTCTAGGAGAATAAATAGAAAAAGAAAGATATTTAATCTAAGCAATTATAATAATCATAAGAGAAAAGTCATTTAATCTAATTCATTCTAATAATTATATCCCACAGATCTTGGTGTTAGAAGAGGAAACCTCCAACTACAGCCCATGGTTGGAGCCCACAGATTGCTGACATGTGAAAGCCGTGAGCCCCCTCCTTGCCGTGTGATTCAACACTCCCCCTCAAGTTGGCTTGTACAGGTTGTACAATCCTAACTTACAAACAAACTTATCAAGCAGAGAGTCTGTTATTGCCTTTTATTAGAACAATGGCAAGTTGTTCATGATTTGGGGTATAAACTGCTTCAATTTCTAAATTCTCTAATTTATCAAATATAAAGTGTCTATCAATGGTAACATGTTTTGTTCTAGCGTAATGTACTGGATCCTTGACCATACTAATTATTGCTTGATTGTCACATTTAAACTTTATCGTAGCTTCAATATTTATTCCCAATTCAATCAATACAAATATTATCCAAATATCTTCACAAATAGTAATTGTTAATGCTCTCAATTCAAATTCCGCACTGCTTCTAGAAATAACAGATTATTTCCTGCTCCTCATATCACTGGGTTCCCCACACAAATGAACAATATCATATGGTCGATCGGCTATCAACCTGGTTTCCATCCCAATCTGCATCAGAATAAATGATCAATTTCTTATCTTCATTTTTTTAAATAATAGCCTTTCTAGGAGTGTTCTTGAGATATCCCAATATTTTAAAATATTGCCTCCATGTGCTCTTTCATAGGATTACTCATATGTTGGCTCACCATGCTCCCAGCAAACCCAATATATGGACGGGTGTGAGAGAGGTAAATAAGCTTTCCTACCATATGTTGATTCTTTTATCTACTGGAACATCCTCCTTTTCTATTCCAAATTTCTTCTTAAGATCCATAGGTGCACTGGCTAGTCTACATTTCAGCAGGCCGGTCTCCTTCAGTAAGTCTAAGGTATACTTGCGTTGGGAAACAAATATACCTTTGCTTGATCGAGCTACCTCCATATCAAGGAAGTATCTAAGTTATCCTAGATCTTTAACTTCAAACTCCTTCGATAGAACCTGTTTGATCTTCAATATTTCCCTATATCATTTCCAGTACTAATGATATCATCCACATATACAATCAGTACTACTATTTTTTTTTCTGACTACTTCACAAACAAGGTATGATCTGCCTGGCATTGTCTAAAACCATGGCTTTTTGCATACTTTGATAATCTTTCAAACCATGCTCTATGAGACTACTTTAATCCATACAAGAATTTCAGAAGTTTACACGCTTTGTCCCTTACATAAGACTTCTGAATCCCCATTGAAATCTCCATGTAAACTTCTTTCATGTTCTCATTCAAGAATGTATTCTTGATATTTAGTTGATGTATGGAACAATCTAAATTTGTTGCTAAGGAAAGAAGAATCCTGATGGTGTTGAGCTTTGTAATAGAAGCAAAAGTTTCCTGATAGTCTATTCCATAATACTAAGTGAATCCTCTTGCAACTAATCTAGCTTTCAGCCTCTCAACACTACCATCCTCCTCATGCTTTACAGTGAACACCCATTTGTAGGTCACAACTTTCTTTTCAAGTGGGAAATTCATAATTACCCATGTTTGATTTTTCTCCAAGGCCATAATTTCTTTTTCAACATCCTGTCTCCATCCTGGGTGATTCAAAGCTTCCTGAATATTGGTCGGAATCTGCACATCATCCAACCTGGAAAGGAAGACTTGATAAGTATCTGATAATCTGCTATATGAGATAAATTTTTCGATTGGATGCTTGGTGCACGATTATTTCTAGTCATTTGATGACTCTATCTCCTTTTAAACTTTCTCATTTTTCTCCTATATAAAACTGATGCAAGCAAAAATTTGGAAAAAGCCCCAAATTTTGCAAGCAAAAACTAATCCTTCTTAGGAAATAGAAATTACATAAAATGCCCCAAAATAGACAAATTACAACTTTTATAAAAGAAAAACGACTCTTACAAACTTTGACACTTACAAACGACACATAAACAACACCTAAAGAAGCTTTGTCAATCGTCGAGAAGAAAGATACAGGTGGGATGGTCACTTGCGGAGAGACGAATAAGATAAGAAGTTCGAGATAAAGGAGGACAAGCTCGCAAGCCTTCCCAAGAAATAGAAGAAGAAGAAGTGGAACAAGCTCTCAAGCTTTTCCCAAAAACCCTCAGGTTTTCATGTCCAAAAATACTATTATATCATCCTCTAAAAACTCTAAAACAACCACAAATATCTCCTATATATAGGTAAAGAAAGGGGAGCCAAACAACCACATAAAAACCCTAAAAACAACACCCAAAGAGCCTTGCATTTATTTCAAAACAGCACCCAAAAAGACACATAAATTCGGGGTAAAAACAGCCACGGGAAAGGAGCGGGCAACACAAAACAATTCCCAAAATCAGCACAAAACCAAAGCAGCCACGGGAATATAGCCAAGGAGGGACCCGAAGAGCTAACACAGAAACCGAACTGGAGAAGTCACGGGAAAGCAGTCAGGGGGAAAACCGAAAAGGCAACCAGCACCCAGCAGGTTTCACGGGAACAGCACAAAGAAGAAACCAAAGAGACACAAGAAGGGGAAGAGAAAAGGGACAATAATTCCACTCCAATGAGCTATCCAGTAAAAAACTTTTCATAATAATGAGCTAAAGTTTTAGCTCAAGCATTTATGAGCTAAAACCAAGAAATTCCCAAAGAACACAGCTCAAAACCAAAGCAGCCAAAGCGAAACCTGAGAGCAACAGCAGCCCAAAAGACCAAAAGAACCCAAGCAAATAGCACATCCAAAGCTAGCCAAGTCCAAGAAACAATGGAGACGTTTTGACCCCCCCTGCCTAAATAAAAAACTGTACAGTTGTTGGATCCATTGAAAGAGATTTGACATGTGCAAGGTGTGTCTCACTGCTCTACATATGCTAATGTTTCTTTCTTTCCTTGAATATATATATTATTGTTCCGTAATTGTTGCTCTTTGCAGGGATTGATTAGAACTTATGGGTGGAGGTAATAGGCCTGAAAGTGGAGGTTGAGACATAGGAGATATACCTTGGGAAATACTCAAGGTTTGGATTTCTTGTGATATTTGTTGATTTTAACTGGACTCTGTTTTGTTATATAATAAAGAATTCCACTCTACAGTTTGAAATTCTCCTTCACTCTTCCCCTAAATTTCAGAACTAGTAAAGTACGAATTGTTTTCAAAAAATGTGACATCCATGAATTCAAATACCTTCCTAGAAGTAGGGCAAAAGCACTTGTAACCTCTTTTTGTCATAGAATAGCCAATAAAGATGCATTTTTTTATCTTGGGTTAAGCTTGCTCCTATCTTGAGAATAAATATGAACAAAGGCAGAGCACCTAAAAATTTTAGGTGGAAGATTTGATGATATGAACCGAGCATGAGAATAAGCTTTGAGTTTGTCTAAGTGTTTCAAATTTTAGTACCTAAGTAGGTAACCTATTTATTAGGTATGCAACAGTAAGAATGGCTTCCCCCCATAAATATTTTGGTAATTTTGTAAATAGCATAATAGATTTGACAATTCCAAGAGTTGCCTATTTTTCCTCTCAGCTACCCCATTTTGTTGAGGTGTATACGCACATGAACTCACTTGGATTATCCCTTGGCTTGATAGGTATTCTCTCATGATAGAATGAAAGCACTATCTCTCATTGTCTGACTTTAAGATTTAAATTTTTGTATAAATTTTGAATCATCTGTTGAAATGATTTGAATATTCTTTCATTTTCATTTTTTTTCTTCATTAAATAAACTCATGTGAGTCTAGTATGATCATCAACAAATATTACAAACCACCTTGCGCTACTTATATTTTTAACCTTTGAAGCTCCCCAAATATCATTAGATCAAGGCAAAGGATTTAGCATGTTGGTAAGGAACAATTGGGTAAGATGATCTGGTATGTTTAGCTAATTATCAAGTTTCACAATTTAACAAACTTGAATTTTTATTAATAAATAAATAAGGAAAAAGTTTTTAAAGATGCATGAAATTTGGAAGACCTAACCTATAATGCCACATGATAATCTTTCTATCTTGATTAACTCTAGAATGACTCAACAAACTGACCCACAATAAGATGATTCTCAGCAGCAATTAAAGATTTGGGTGTCTTGACGTAGTATAACCCAAAACACGTCACAGTGCTGTCAATCTTCTTCTACAAATCCAATTTCTGAAAAATACATACATTATTGAAGAATATTGTTAAGCAATTACTATCAAGAGTCAATTTACTAATGAAAATCAAATTCGACTCAAGATCGGGCATATAAAACACCGATTTAAGGGTGATAGCTTCTATGACAAAAGCGGAACGAATTTCCAAAACTTTGGATGTTGAGTCATCAACAACCTTAACTACACGATTTGAATGATAAGGTTGATATTCATGAACTAGTGTAATGTCTCCTGTCATGAGATTTGATGCTCCTAAGTCAAAAATCCAAAGTTTTGACTGTTTTATACTTGAGTGAGTGTGTAGACTGGTTGCAGGTTCTGGAGACTGTTGGTTCGTGATGTTGTTAAGCAACAACTTAAGCATCTCTAAATGCTCCTTGGTGAAAGGAATGGCTTCAGCTTTGATGGATTGATCTTGCGTTGTGTTGATAGAATTCGCCTTGTTTTCTTGCACTTATTTGTTTGCCTTCCAATCAGTTAGTTTTCCATGAATCTTCCAATGTGTCTCCTTTGTACGTCCTGGTTTGGCACAGTGATCACACCATGGTCTTCCTCCGTTCTTTTGATGTTGATTTTCAACATGTAAGGGGTTTCGATTGCTGCGAACAGTAAGAGCATTTCCTTCTTAAACCTTTGGAGATCCTTGTAGGCCTCCCAACATAACCTTTTTTTGCTCTCTTCCCTTCAAACTTCAAAAAAGGCCTCCCAGAGATTTGAAGGAGGTTTGGTTCCAATGATCCGTCCTCTAACGCCATCCAAGTTCTTATTCAAATCCATCAAGAATTTGAATATTCTTTTTGTCTCAACAATCTTTTGGTGAAGTGTGTGATCTTCCAAGCATTTTCATTTATATTGTTCAAGCATATCTAATTCTTGCCAATAACAGGTTAGAATATTAATATATTGAGTTACCGTCAGGTCCACTTGTCGACAGTCGTGAAGGATGGTCTCAATTGCAAATAGCTCGGAAGTGTTGTCGGAACTAGAGTAGGTCTCTTTAACGGCCTCCCATATTTCTTGGGTCGTCTCGTAAAGAAGAAACTTCTCACCAATTTATATTCATGGAGTTTATGAGCCAAGGCACGATCTGATGATTCTCTGTTTTCCATTTTTTGTAGAGAGGATCGGTTTGCGTTGGTATAGGGGCTTCACCAATGAAATAGTCATATTTCCCTCTCCCACAAATAAACATTCTCGCCGATTGAGACCATTGCAAAAAATTTTGACCATTAAATCTATGGTTTGTGATGAGAGGATGAAGAGGATAAAGAGTTTTTCTGCAAATCAAAGTTTCCGATGTTTAAATCGACAATATTTGAGTAGGAGGATGGGATCCCGCTGTCCATGGACATGATTGGGTTTCCTCGGATGAAGGAGAATATGAATTTTTGGCAAGGGTTATCGGTGCTTAAATAAAAGTTATCGGCAGGATGATGTAGAGTTATTGCCGACTGAAGGTTGGAAGAAAGGGAGGAAGGTTTGTCGTCGACACTCAGAGAAGGCTTAGGATTTTACTAAGCTCTGATACCATGAAGAAATTGTTTAGGAAAAATTGAATTCAAATTTTATTCCTTAAAATCATTACATATATATACACTCTAGGAGAATAAACAAAAAAGGAAAGACATTTTATCTAATCAATTATAATAAACATAAGAGGAAAGTCATTTAATCTAATTGATTCTAATAATTATATCCCACGAATCTTGGTGTCATAAGAGAAAATCTTCAACTGCAACCCACGGATTACTGATATGTCAAAGTCATGGCCCCCTCCTTGTCATGTGATTCAACAAATTTAAAGATGGAATAGTTGCTTACTTGCATGGAGTATGTTTCTCTAAATAAGACAAGTCTCAATGCCTAACACATAAAACCAAAATACTTTTTAAACCTTTAAATTGAGCTCTCATAAAAAATATAAATAAAAAAGGCAAGCTATTAACATTTGAAATACTTGTCTTTACTATATTCATATTTATAGGATGGGTAACAACTGGAGGGAAGATCATGTAGTCAAGAAAGGAAACATAGAGGTATCACAAGAGAATGACTCCATTTCAAATGGTGCTAAAAAAAGTAGATCCAGTATTCATGAAACCTAAAGTCAATGGTACAATGGGACAAGGGATAGCCTAACACTACATTCAATAATGTTTGCCCGTGCAAAGTAAAAGAGGTAATCAAAAGAAAAATTGGGCGAAAATCATGAGTTGATGACTAGTCATGCAATAAAAAGTGAGACTTGAAAGCGAATAAGCATGCTGTATTTTCGACATGCTACCAGGAAACAACCTCCATACAGGACCACATGAGGATATTAAATGGCACTCATAGAATTTGCAGAGATGAATTGAAAAATTGCACTCTACTTAAAAGTAAATTTTATAAAATTACAATCAAGATGGATGGCTATGTTGAAAAAATCCAAATGTTGAGCAATAAAAAAGCTGTTAATGGCTAACTTGAACATGGTGAAAATGAAATGTTAAGATAGATTTGTGGTAAGTATGATAGATAAATTAAGTCATACTTTTATAAGAGGGACAATTGGTGTCACATCTATTGATTATAAAATGCTTAATAAACTTAATTGGTTTTGGTACATTAAAAAAAGTGTAAAAAAAAACAATTAGACGGGTAGGTAAATTTTGCTATAAAAGAAAAAAAGGTAGACCTAAAATAATATAAATAGTTGTTCAAAGTAATTTGCATCTGAAGGAACACCAAGCAGGAACAAATGAAAATTGAGAATTTATAAAGCCAACTTCAAATAGGTGGCATAAGGCTAATCATGATGACAATGTAGTTTTTTTTAACACATGTTACTTAGTAAAGCAGACCTCTACTAAAAACACAACATCTTCATAAGCTTACACATCATGAAAGATTACCAGGAGTTAATGGTTTCCAATTGCATGTTAAATAAAAGAATAGAAGAAATAACACCAATTGATAAAAAATATGTCAATTAGATGGGAAGAAAAAATTGGCTCAGGACAAAAGAATAGATTGACCTAAAATAATATAAAAAGAAGTTGTTCAAAATAATTAAAAAATTTTAACATTTCAAGAAATTCTAAGTAGGAACAAATGGAAAATGAGAATCCATAAAGACAATCCCAAATGGTAGATACAAGGCTAATAATAATGATGATGATGTGGATTATAATCGTGTACTTGTTTTAACCCATCTTTTTAGTAAAGTAAACCTCCACTAAGAACACAATATTTTCATACGGTTACATATCATAAAAAGTATTAACAGCTAATGGCATGCGGTTACAAGTTAATTAAAATAATAGAAGAAAGAACAAAAAAACCTCCAAGCTTCTGTGCCTCCTTAACGATATGAAGTGCAAGTGTTGTTTTTCCAGATGCCTCTCTTCCATATATTTCAACTATCCTTCCCTGCACTACATGACATTACACAAATTAATTTAATATGAGATTTTCCATATAATTTACAATTAGATCAGAAGTTAATAACATTTCAGAAAGGAAAAGAAAGGACTCCACTTCAATAGTAGATGAGGGAATGGTTGTGGTCTGTTGGGGATTTAACGATTAGAAACTATCCAAGTAATCTTTGTACCAACTCTGAAAAATTAAAAGAGAATAAAAAGTAAAAAATGACCAGGAGGCGGGGGTTGTTTTGGAGGGTTAAGAAAATTTATATAGCTTAAAAATTAGATATTGTAACTAACAAGTAATTTTGTAAAAGTAAAACAAAACTAAACCTATAGTTTCTCATTCTTTTTTTTTTAAGAAATTGTACTACATACCACTTTTTGTCTAAAATGGGAGGGAAAAAAATTTAATCAATAAGATTTTAAATGGAGCTCAATTTTGAAGTTGGATAGTCCTATCCCAAAATAAGGTTTTTTTCATAGGTTCTATCATTAGAAACTTGCTCTCTTTCAGAATTAAAAAATAAATACTGATAACAGGGAGAATTGTTTTTGCAAAACTTTCCCTATTACAATAGTATAGGTTTAAATATAAAGATTTCTCACTTTATTGATGTTTACTTTCCTAAAAGGAATTTAGCTGACTCCCACTCCGATCTTTGTCCCTACGATTCTACATAGAGAGTAAAGTTGCCATTCAAAGCATCATGATTTCTTTAGAAAGATTATTAAAAAAATAGGATATAGTGCAATTTTTCCACGGAATAAATTTAAAAACAAGAAAATGAAGAACTGAAATCATTGGACAAAAAGGTTCAGTTACTATTAATCTCAATCAATATATACACCATAAACTCAGCATTGGAGCAAACCACATTTTGATTTAACTAACCCGGTTGATAGTACCGAATGTCAAAGCCCAACCCTGGAGTCGAAGTACTAAGTCTGGAAAAAATAATCAAATGAAAGTTGGAAGCTTGCTATACTTTAAAAGGAAAAAAATACAATTTAAACCAAACTTTATTTTCCTTTACATAAGACTCAAAATATCATAAAAGAGCCTTTAAACCAAAAAAATTTTGATTTACATCAAATTTTCACATACAATCTAAAATAATACATTTTGCATATAATTAAAAAAGTAAGAAAAAATATCTAAAATGTTCTAAACTTCTCTCATAACTAGGCATGTATCTAAAAGTAGATGCTTTTCACCTATTGTAAGCAAAATCTTCTAATACCGAACAATTTGAATTAAATATTAATATTAGTAAATATAACACTGTCATTGCCAGGTCTCAAGTCCTGGATGAGAAAAGTGGAGGGTTTCGTTAGATAGTCGACAGCCAGCGTAAAACTTGTCGAAAAAAATCATGACATGAATCCTTTAAAAAATTCTTAGAAGATGATATTCAACAAAGGTGAATGAGGTATTTTGCTAAACTTTTTAATAAAGAATGTGAAAATACGATTGACTTTAGTGAATTTATCACCCTAAATAAAAATAGGGATTTTTATTTTTATCGGCGTATAAGTAAGACTGAAGTTAGAGAGGCTTTAAAGAAAATGAAGTGTGGAAAAGCTGTTGGACCTAATGATATTCGAATAGAGATGTGGAAATGCTTAGGTGATGAAGGAATTTCTTGGCTTACAAACTTTTAATATTGTTTTGAAGACTAAAAAGATGCCAGATCAGTGGAGAATGAGTGTATTATTCCTATTTTTAAGAATAAAGGTGATGGACAGGAGTGTGCGAATTATAGAAGAATTAAGTTAATGTGTCATACTTTAAAACTATGGGAGCGAGTTATGGAGCATAGGTTGCAGCATGATACTAATGTTTCTCAAAATCAATTTGGATTCATGCCGGGTAGGTCTACTGTGGAAGCTATACATTTATTGAGAGGTTTGATGGAGAAATATAGAGAGAATAAGGAGGATCTACATATGATATTTATTGATTTAGAGAAAGCATATGATAAAGTTCCAAGAGAAGTGTTATGGAGAGTTCTTGAAAAGAAAGGAGTTAATAATGCTTATATTCAAATCATTAAGATATGAATGCAGGAGCTATTACTTTGTTCAAACACAAGGGGTTTGACCAAGTATTTCCTATTTCGGTTGGATTACATCAAGGATCAGCCTTAAGTCCATATCTTTTTGCTTTAGTCATGGATGTTCTCACTAGACATTTGCAAGAGGATGTACCTTGGTGTATGCTTTTGCTGATGATATTCTTCTTGTTGATAAGACTAGAGAGGGAGTTGAAGGTAAACTTGAATTATGGAAGGTCAACTTTAGAGTCTAAAGGTTTCGCTTGAGTAGATCTAAAATTGAATATATTGAGTGTTATTTTAGTAGCAATAGACCTAGTGAGGGGATTGTGACTTTGGGCGATCAAGTCATTAATAAGAGTACACGTTTTAGATATCTTGGATCTATTGTTCAAAGTGATGGTGAAATTGATGGGATATTATCAGCAGAATTCAAGTTGGGATGGTTGAAGTGGAGGAATGCATCGGGCTTATTGTGCGATAGAAAAGTCCCCTCAAACTTAAGGGAAAATTCTATAAGATGGTGGTGAGACCTACAATGCTTTTGGTGCTGAATGTTGGCCATTAAAAGAGAAGCATAATACTAAGTTAAGTGTTGCAGAGATGAGGATGCTTAGGTGGATGAGTGGCTTGACCCTTAGAGATAGGATACGAAATGAGCATATACGTGAAAAGGTTGGAGTAAGATAGAAGAGTCGCTTAGATGATTTGGTCGCATTAAACGAAGGCCTCACGATGACCCGGTTAGGAAAGTTAAGGAATTATATTTGACTTATGTTAAAAAAGGTAGAGGTAGACCTAAAAAGACTTGGTTAGAAAATATTAGAAATGATCTTTCGTTATTAGATTTAAATGAGAATTTGACTTTTAACTGGACACAATAGCGAAAAAGGATTATGTAGCCGACCCCACGTAGTGGGACAAGAGCTTGATGTTGTTGTTGTTGTATTAATATTAGTAAATATGACTCTAAATAAATAATTATTTATTCAGGTATATCCAAAAAATGGTAACAATTGTGTTTTGATGTGTCACAACATGTACGAAAGCCTTACATTTTACTTGAGATTGTGTGAGGATGGAAAGAAACACCATCTATAATAGGGGATTCATGGGGACTGCCCAGAGGTTAGATATTTTGAAAAAAAAAAAGAATAATAAGCATATACACAATGATAATAAATAATAAATTAATAATGCATAACACTAATAAATAGTAAGATTTATGTATACATACTAAAATATACATAATAAAGTTTTTCAAAGTATATATGGGCATATTAAAATAAGAAAGAAAAAGACATAATGTAACATTATAAGTTTTAAAAAAAATTCCCTCACTTTACGTGCTCCCATACCCTATAAATGAGCTCTCCCTCCTTTCTCTCCTACTACAATCTCCCTTTACAACAAGCTCACTCTCAATCCCTTGCGAGGACAAGCAAAACATGAGGAAAATATTTGGGCAACTTATGTGCGACCATTCAAACCATTTTAACACAATGATGAGCATGTTCTTGGGTAGATTTTAGGTGATGCTGCACAAACACATTCATACAAAACACTCCAAAGCACATTCATTGGTGTGATAGGATGACTTTTCATAGGTTGTCATGCCCTTTGCAGGGAACCCAATACATCTTTATTGACATGGAAAGATGGTTTACTACCATTACTCTGTGCAAGTAACGACAAAGCTTCGCTATAATTTGCCTGAAATTTAGACACAAAAATAAATGCTAAAACAAGAAGGATGGAAAAACAAAGACAAGTTCGTGAAAAAAAAAGAAAAAATGGTGGATAGACAGTTTGCAACAAAATAATGGCCATCACTAATTTTCTTTTCTTTATTTCCTTTGAAGAAAGAAGACCTCACTGGGATGATTCTTAAGCCTTCCCACTCATGTATTAGTTATTGCATTCTATGGCCGTTTGAGAAAGATAAATGATTGGAAACAAGCAGAATTTATTTGTAATTCAAAAATAAAATCCTAGGGTGTGCTTCATCAATATTTGTATCTTCCCAAGATTTATTCGCAACATGATCAATTTACATCAGTACTCTATGGTATACTCTGCACAGACCGTCTTTGACATTTCCTCAAAATATATCACATCTACCAATCTTTGCAACAACAGCTTGAATATTCCTCAAGCCGCCACTTGATGGTCATTTATCTTTACTTTTTTTTTAAGTCTCATTCATCATTACTTGGGCATTTCACTGCATCAGTGCATAATGTCTTAACTCAAATTGCACGGAGGAAAACTTATCATGCATATTATAACATACAAGTTGAGGTAAGGCTGCAACTGGTCGATTCATGCATCCCAACTATTAGGCACTAACCATCTAATCATATATAAGAATCTTCACTTTAACTTTTTCTTCTTGATTGGGATTTTCACCTACAATCAACCCTTCACCAACCCCTCTTTCACAGCAGTCACGAATTTCATTTCCCTAGGAAACAAAACAGCTCTTCTTAATTGCCCAGCACCTCTTGGCCATCATGCAACCATCAAGGAGTGGAAGTTTTCAACAGCAGGACCGCAAAAGCAGACCTCCCAGAGGAAATAGCAGTTCTTCATTCAACGGCAACAACAATTTTTGCTCTTCAAGCCTAGCCTCCCTCTTCCAGGGATGTGATTAGAGAAAAAAAAACAGCTAATCCTCACGGTTCCTAAGGAAGAAGAACCCAACAAATTGGGAAGGGAAAATAAAACAAAAACAACGGGAAGGAGAGAAAGAAAAGAAGAGGAGAATAAATTCTCTAGAAAAAAAAAAAGAATGGACTGTCATTACAACAAAGGTTGAGGGTGTATCTATGGTCACAACTCAAAATAATTGTGTAAATTGAAACTTACACAAATTACCCCCAAAACAAAGAAACTATCAATAGCTCTTACAAACTAAGTAAAGAATTAAATGACCAGTAAATCAGTTGTCAACATGATAGATGATGTTTCTTGACTTCTTATAAAACACAGAAAGCTACACCCTTAAATTTTGACTCTCCTTCAGATGACAACAAATCACTATTTTTGTACTAATAGCACATAAAATGGAGACAAAAGCATAATTTTTCCCTATGTGAAATTGTTGTACCAGCAATTTCTCACCCTCTGTTAACTCATGTAGATCATGGCTAGCCTTGGAAAAAATGAAAATGGGAAATTCGCCTTCAAAGAGTTACAGCAATAGTATGTGATGGTTCTTGGCAAGGTTTGGTTTCAGAAAGTTCTGAGAAAGTGGGGGTCCAACGAATTCAAGTTCTCACCCAAGGCAACAAGATATTCCGGCTTGTACTACAATAAAAGACCGAAGAATCAGAGGGACATGTGGCTTCTGTGAGGCTGGTTGCGAGAAAAAAGGAAGGAATAGAGAAAAATGGAAGATTTGAGAGAGTTTCTAATTTTCACTTGATTTCATTGTAGGAACTAAGGCTATTACATCAGAGAATAAAATCAAATCCACTCCTGAACAAATTTTACAAGAGGCAACCTTGCCTATAATAATAAGCTAGATAAGTTAATTCAGAAGGATAAGAATTATCTAATCCATGATATTAAAAATTCAAGAATAAGTCTATCCAAATTATTTTATAAATTCATCATTATGTAATTCTAATATGTGTTTTAGTCGAAATTGTTCAACTTTTGGGAACTTGATCTTCCCCATATGACATTTAATTGATGATCTAATCATTCATATAGACTTACCGCAAAATCTACTCCAATTTCGACAATGTAATCTAAAAATAACTACAATCGATGATTTTCATTAACAACTCAAACGTTAGAAATCTACTGTATAGATCTCTTGATCACTTCATGATCTTATGCCTAAATTGTGATGGTAGCATCAAACTATGTAATTCTTTGAAGTAGAAAGTAGGCTTTATCATCCCCTTCATGATCTAATCTCCACATATCGGAAGGATGCAATACAGCAAGGGTTGAAGATATTCTAAAGATATATTAATGTTAAACAAGACATGAACAAGCTGCAACGTATCACCTAGGAGGTTTCAAATATAAACATATGAATACTTCACCTTAAGAAGCTTATACGGTGATGCTTCACTCCTTACACGTCATACAAATCATCAAAGAATATTAAACTAGATATGCAAGTTGAATGCCTGAAACCAATTTATACCACAATATTAAGAAAATGCACCATCGCATTTTTGAGAATTTTTCTTGGCATTTTAATTGATAAAGGTGCCAAACTTCTTTATTTTTAGTAGAATTCCTATGATTTTGACATGTTTAGATCAGGATGACCCCCTTGCAAACTTCAAAAAGATTTTGATATGCATATGAAATAGTACATTGGCCCTTGGTTAGTTAAATATGTCACAAAACTTCAAAAACAAGACCTTCACATTTATATCCGAAAGTTTCCACGAACTAATCTTAACAAAAAGCTCATAACTCTTACGATCTATCTTAAATTACTTCACTGCAAATCAAACTCTTCGAATACATAGAAAATATTGATAACCATGTTAGCACCGTTTCATAATTGAGACAAGAATTTAGAAATGTTAAAGTTAAAATTATTTTTTCTTTAATTTAGAGGCATTAAACTTAGGGCATTCAACATGAGGGTCAAAAAAAGAACATTGAACCATCTTCATCTTAGAGCACCACATAATCACCTTTGGTAGTCCTCCAATTCCAAGGGCCTGATCAAGCTTCAAAGAGCCTGTAGGAATCACTGGTGCCCATCGTGTGCTGAAGAAACGACGCATAGATAAATTAGAGTCTCTATCAAAATCAACAACAAGCTGGGACAAGGCAAGATGAAGCGTCGCATTCTTCTCCTCCACTTTTCCAACATCCCATTGCTGATCTCTCTCATATTCCAAAACACTATCCACTGCAATATTACAAGCTCATAAATAGGGCATAAGTATATAGGCTTAGTCGTTAAATGATATAAAAATATACATATGAAGGGGTGTCAAAACTTTATCAGTCCCAGGTCAAAAAATCTAACACAATTGAGTCCCATAAATGAAACTCCTGACAAAGAGAACTAAATGAAAGCACTTACACTCACGAAATCTATTTTATTATAGCAACCAAATATTCTTTCAAAATGGTTATTCAATTTAAAACATCAAGATTTATCTTGCATCCATACCAGTATGAAAAAATATGTAATTGACAAATTTCAAGTAGTTCATAGGGAAACTAAGGCTCGGGAATTTTTCAATTGGTCAACTATATGTTATTAATGTATATCAACATGAAAATATTGGAGAAACAATTCATAGAGTTAACGTATCTTCCATTAGGGGTGCAAATGAGTCAAGCCGACTCGTGAGCCGACTCGAGCTCGACTCGTTAACGAGCTCGCGAGTCGAGCTTATCGAGTATCGAGCTCGAGTTCGAGCAAAAATTCGAGATCGGTCCATAAACGAGCTCGAGTTCAATTCACAGTCCGTCCGACTCGAGTGCTCGACGAGCGGCTCGAGTATGCGGAACGACGGAAGTGCGAAAGGCGGCAAAGCCAAATGCTAAGGCGGAATCAGAACTTTTGGTCACGGGCCTCACGGCGGAATGGGCGGATAAGCCAAAGTCCAAAACGAAAAATATTTTAAAACTTTTGTTGTGAACCGGTTCATTAGGTTTTTTTGTCCGAGTCGTGAGAAGCATTGGGGCGTCGTTCCTGTTCGTGACCTAGGCTTCTCTTCGTCGTCTTCCGTTCTTCATGCGAGAGGCGACTTGGGAATAGACACTTCCTCATCTCTCCGTCTGGAAGCAAGGTTTTAGTTCATTTTGAATCCCCTCGCCCTTCTTCTCCTACAGTACTCTTGCTTGGATCTGGGCTTTATCTTCTTCTTCTTCATTTCTATTTCAATACTTTTTAATGTTTAGATTTCTTCCGTTCTTCATGAGAAGTGAATTTTTATTTTATTTTATTTTGATCTTTCTTCAGATCTATAACATCAGTTAGGAGAACTGATCTTGAACTTCAGATTCGATTTTCAAAAGAAGTGGTTGCCGGCATGCTGGTGAACTTGTGTTGTTACTAAAGATTTTAGTAAGTTTTTTTTGTTATGTTATTTTATTTCTTTTTGCGTATCTATTAACATTGTTTTGTTATGTTTTTTATTTCTTTTTTCAGATCTATTAATCTTGGAAAGGAAAATTCTTTATTCAGATTTTTTCTTTGTGAATGACTCCAGATCTGTTTTACTCGACTTAGTGACATTAGTTGATATTTTTTCAGTTTAATCAGATTCTTATTCAGTTTTTATTCTATGTGCTACCTTTTTTCTCTAAATAGTGAAATCCTGAAGAGATCGAGGCCAAGCTGCTGAAAGGAAGGTGTATTAACTCAGTTTTTTTTTCTTACTGCAGTTACGAGAAGGGTCTTAAAGATTCATATTTGAGCTCTAAAGAGAAGGTACCTAATTTTGTGTCTAATTTTTAGTTAATGTAACTTTTGATTATCTGAAATGAAAAGTGCAATAAGTTTTATCTGGAAAGTTTTTCATTTAGACTTTATTTGTTGTATGTTTTCGTAATTACATTTTTTTGTTTGTATATTCAAATCTTTTTAGATGTCACCAGAACCAATTGTTCAAGATAACATTAGTGAGGAGATTATTTTGGAGACGGTAGATGAAGTACCATCTAGTAGCATACAAAGAAATATTGGGTTAAATGAAAATGATGACGTAGTGGAAGAAAATAAGGTTGTAGAAGATATCATCTGTGAGCAAGAAGAAGAAGCAAATCCTGTTGCAATAAAAAAACGAAAGATAAAATCAATTTACTGTTCTTGAATTGTTAATATAAACCTGCTAAATTAATTTACTGTTCTTGCATATCAATGATAGAATCATGTTATTTGTGGAATGTGGATTCTAAGACATGCCGTTTCATTGCTATAAATTAGATAGGTCATAGGAGTATAGGACTGATTCTCTGAATATAATAACTCTTCAATTGTTTTCATGTTTGTAAGTTTAATTAGGCACATAAAGTAAAGTGATTTTTTTTATGAGCAGTCAATTGACAGTTATAAAACTAACGATTTTATTTTCACTAACAGTATCCAATTCATTTCAAAGAATGTTACTCTCCAAAATATGCATACCTGTGTGTAGAAATGTAACATTTTATTAAATATATAGGCTGTAATGAAGATGGGCAGAATCAAGCATTTGTTGCCAAACGTAATGCTCTGCGTTTTTGGGTTCTTCAGGTATTGTTATTTCTTTCAATATACCTTCTCTCAACTAATGCTTTTGTTTTAATTCTGTAGTAAATTTTATAATGCTCTTCATTTTAATTGCAGTTTTGCAGGTAGATGAAGTCTTGAAGATGAAGAAGCTATGAAAAACTTGTCATTTTGGTCATAATGTATTTTTTAAGGACTATTTGAGACATTATATATGATTATGTTTTGGAAAATTTGTAATTTGATCATACAGTATTGACTATTTCAAATCTTTCATTTTATTATGTTTATGTTTGAGAAATTTGTAACCAAGCAAACCTTTATGGATTTATAACTTTCATGTTATTAATTTTATTAATATGATATCCTTGTGGTTTGCTCTTGTCAAGAAAATATAAATTTTTTTATTATTTTATATTAGATATTATATTAATAACATCATGTTTTTTTAAGTAATTTATAATGTGCTTTTTAATGGTGAAAATTTTATTAAAAGCATCATTTTTTAATATGAAAGATTCATTAAAAAATAATCAATTCGAGCTTGTAATCGAGCTTATAATCGAGTCGAGCTCGAGCTCGAATAAAAATAATCAATTCGAGCTTGTAATCGAGCTTATAATCGAGTCGAGCTCGAGCTCACTATTCGAGCTCGAGCTAACGAGCCCAAAACGAGCCTATATTCTGACACACGAGTCGAGCTCGAGCTCGAGTTCTTTACTCGAGTCGAGCTCGAGCTCGAGCTCGAGCCGCCTGCATAACTAACGAGCTCGGCTCGAACAACCTTGAGCTCGAGCTCGACTCGACTCGTTTGCACCCCTATCTTCCATCATAACATAAGATTTTAATTATTCAGATGCATCCTAACAATACACATAAAAA